CGCTTTGTACACTTTAAGGCAGTGCGCCCCGGGGACGCCAGTATCAATGTCTGGGGACATCTACGAAGTTCCCAGACTCCAGCAGGAGGGTTACAACAATTCAGGATTTCAGTCGCCGACGAACTTCATGAATACAAGCAAAATGAAAAAATGTGTCATTTCAGAGGTTCCAGCAAGGGGGACACAAAGGTCTGGCCCCAGGAGTCAGATGTCCTTTAGGAGAGAACAACTCAGGAGAAGGCTCACGGCCCGGCTGGCGTGGCTCCGTGTTTGAACATCGACTTGTGTACCAGGAGGTCACAGTTCAATTCCAGGTCGGGGCACATGCCCAGGTTACAGGCTCCATCCCCAGTGTGGGGCATGCAGGAGGCAGCCAATCAATGATTCTCTCTCATCATTGATGTTTCCATTCCTTTCTCCCTCTCTCTCCCTCTCTGAAATCAATAAAAATATATTTTAAAGAGAGAAGAGAGAGAAGGCTCACACAGGAAAGCGCAAAGCCATTCGGGCACAGCTAGCACAGTGGGGCCCTGTGGACCGAGCGCGGGGGAACTGAGCTGGGTCAAAATGAGGGCTTGCCAGGCAGCTCAGAGAGTCCAGTCCTCCAGCAGGTCCGTCAGACCTGAGTTCAAGTCCTGCCTACACCACTTAGAGCCGTCCCTCGGGCAAGTCACTAAGCCCTCTGAGCTGCTATCAGCCCCGCCTAATTCCAGCTGCTCAAGTGGCAGGGTCAGAAGGCGGCATCAGCCACAGGCCTGCCCTACAGGAGTCTCTGTCCTCGCCGTGGAAACGTGAGCACCCACTCCCAGGAGGCTGGCTGCAGCCTGTCTGCTCTCCCCTGAATCTGTGGAAGTGTCCACACGGAGGACGGGGCAGAGAGAGGGCTCATCTCGCAGCAGGCCACACTGAGCAGCTGACTCCCGGGAGCCTCCCCTGGACAGTGCAGCGCCAAAGCCAGGAAGAAAAGGAGAGAGGGCGGTAGTCCCATTTCGTAGATGAGAACGTCCAGAAACGTGTCCAAACCCTGTGGCGCGTCGGTGTTCGCTGTCCAGACCAGCTCCACCACGGCGAAGGTCTCCTTTAAGATCACGCCGACGTCCGCCCCGCGGCTGTGTACCAGGTCCTCCGTGCTCCTGAAAGCACGCCTTGCACAGCAGTCTTCAAAGTCTGCAGTGGAAGAAGGTAAAGTTTCTGCAGCCCCAACTGCAATGATGGAAAAGGAATAAATCCGCCACAGACGGCTG